GCCAGCCCCGCCGCGCTCCCCCCACGCGCCGCGAGTGCGCCGTCCCCACGACGCGGGCAGCAACACGCGTGCGCCCCCGTCCCCCCCGCCGGCCGCGCGCGCGCGCGCGCGCGCTCGCTCGCTCACCCCAGGACCACGAGCTCCCCGTATTTGACGGGCTCCTTGTTGGGCGCGCAGTGCTCCTCCTGGCTGGGCGAAAACATGGGGCCGGGCCGCCGCCGCCGCTGCCGCCGGGGCCGCCGCCGCTACTCTCCCATGCACTCCGGGACAAGGGCGCTGCGGGGACGAGTGCGCCGCGCAGGCTGCGGGACCCGGAGGGAAGGCGCCCCGCGCGCGGGCGGGCGAAAGGGGCGCCGCGTTTGCTTCGCGCGCCCGCCGGCGCGGACTCTCCGGCTGCGTCTCCTTTCTCTCGACGCGCGCCCCGCGCCGACGGGCACCCGGCCGGGGCGGGGGAGGCGGGGCGGGAGAGACCAACGGCGCCTCCCCCCTTCCGCAGACACGCACCGCACATACAAGCGGGAGGCGTGGAAAAGGCCCTCCCCTTCGCGGCCGCTCGGCCTTCCCGCGGCGCGCCCCTCGCTTTGCTTCGGGAGCAGCGATGGTATCGCCCGGTGTGTTATGTAAACATAGAGTAAGGCAAGGAAGAGGAGGAGGCTCTTAAAGGGCCCGCCGCCCGATTTGAATGCTGGCGGCTCCCTGCGTCAGCCGCGTGTGGACGGGGCGGGCTGGTGAGCGCCGCCTGCTGGCCCCGTGGGCGCCGGGGCCACGGCCGGGCTGCCGCGACACGCGAGCGGGCGCTCCTGGCTGCACAAGCGTGCCCTGGAAAGCAGGAACGGGGAAGGACGGAAATGCCTCCCCGCAGCACCCGCTTTAGCGCTGCAGCTGCGCGGGGCATTCCGGGCAGGCGGTGCAGGGCGGACGAGGGTGCAAACCTGGGCGTGCTTCTTACGTGCCGCCAAGGCGGGCCGAACCCATGATGAGTTTCCAGCCGATCAAGTGCCCTCCGACCTACGCGGACCCTATCAAGGAAAGCCTCGTGTCCTACCCGTGACAGCCCTGCTGGGTCCTTGTAAATTCCTTTCTGGGGTCCATCCATCTCTTGCTTGGCCTTCCCTTTCTCCTGCCTTCGACGTTCTCTAGCGATGCTTGCCTTCTGGTGACGTACCCCCCCCAGCCTGTTTCATCATTTTTGTTTCCAGGGAAGGCTCTGGCTTGCTCCCCTTTCCGTCAGTCCAGGGTATTTGCACAGCTCTCCTCAGCACCACATTCCAAAGATCCCTTTCCTTCCTGTCATATCTCATCACTGTCCAGCTTTCACAACCGTGCTTTATAGACTCCAGCAAAGCCCTGGACTGTGTGGAACATGGATGGTCCTGAAAGAAATGGAGGTGGCTCACAGGATTGTCCTGGTTGTAAGCTGTATCACAGGCAAGGAACTACTGCTGGCACAGAATATGGCGAAACAGAATGGTTTCCCATAGGCCGTGGCATCAGACAGTGGTGCATTTATTATTATCTATTTAGTTCTGTACACAGAACATATCCTAAGGAAAGCTGGATTAGGACCAGAGGAAGGAATGAAAATCAGCGGAAGATGCACCAATAATTTAAGACAGGCAAATGATATCATAATACCAGGAGAAAGCAGCAATGTTTCATAGACTCAAAGAATTGTAGAGTTGGAAGGGGCCAAAAAGGCCATTAGGTCCAACCCCCTGCTAGTGCAGGTCACCAATTTACACCATCCCACTCAGATGGTATGCTGAATGGGACTTCCTGGTTCTAGACATCCCATACAGCTAATTTTTCCTTTCATGTTGGTATCACTTTTTAAGTTTATTGCCTTTTAAAGCTTTTGCAACTTGAGTTCTGAATGGCACAGAAGGTCTTCTGGAAGTGCAGATTTCTTTCCCCTGGAACTACCATTTTTTATTTTTTTTCTGGTTGCACGCCAGAAAAGAGGCCTTGGGAACGAGAGAGAGTGTTGCAGTTGACAAAGCAGCCGATGGTGAGGACATGAGCTTTCATCATGTAAATGCTATGATTTGAAGATGGATATAAGGCGCAGTCAAAGATGAACGCAGGACTACGGGCCTGCTTGGCAAAGGAGGAAGGAGACATTGTCCACAGACACCCAGGGAGCTGAAATCAAACCCATCTGGAAGAGCATCCATTTGGAAAGCTAACTTAAATCAAGGGGAGTTTTTGGAAAAGGGAGTTTTAAAAAGACCTTAAGCAGCAGGGCCCCTGATTTCCCCTTCCTGGTGCTTTTCCACACAGAATTCCAGCCATGCGGCCATGGAAGCTGCAGGCTCTCAGCGGGTTTTCATCTCCTGCCACTCTTCTGCCCCGAGATCAGCCTGCAAGCTCGCTTTTTGGTAAACAGAAAAATTGGGTGGAGAAACATGCAGTTGGACAATAACATGCAATTTGGTGCTAGGTTGAGTAGGGAGAGGTGCCAGTTTAAACCCACATGGCTTGCTTTGGGGATCAGACTGTTAAGTATGGCGAAGGAACATCTGGAGAGCTTTAATTTATCCCCAACTGGAAATGACAGTTTAAAGACTCCTGTCCCCACCACTTCCCTTCCCATTTCATCTCCTGAAGTTACACTAAATTGTCTTAACTGCTGGGTTCTTTGTTCTTCCAGGTGTTTTATTTTTTATTTTTTAAAAATGCTCTTTGTATGAACAATTTAAAGTGAAAATGTTTAAAAGTCCATGTCTCCACTTTGGAGTCATTTATATGCTGTTTCATCTTACAGCCTTAACAAGGATCCTGAGCATTTCAGCTTTTCTCTTTAGGCAGTTCTGTGCACCAGGAGGACAATGCTTGGAAATTCTTTTCTCCCTTTGTAAATGGACAGTTTTCCTTCATCTTTCTCTTTCTTAGACTTCCAGATAAAAGCAGCCGATCAAGCTGTTAGTGTCTTATAGGGAGCATGACAGAGTAGTGGATATATTTTGAGTTTAGTTTATTCTGCCTTTCAGAAAGGAGCGTCTGAGGTTGTCTTGTAGGACTTATATATGAGAGATGTGGAGACAAGGTTTGGGCTAGATAATATTCACATCAGTTCATGACATTTTGCTCTTGATACCTGTACAACTTAGGACTCGCTGCCCATTTGGATTCATGGGGAACGGTTCCCACTGTTTTCCTGTCTGTAGGATGCTGCCCTTCCTGTCGATAGGCCCCATGTGCTTGTTTTGCCCCTGCCTGCACTTAATACGTAAACAAACCCTGTACGTATCTCCATACTGCCCCTCCGACCCGTTCTCCTCCTCCATGTCTCCTTCCCTCAATGCCCCACGTGTCAACTCATTTCCAAACGGCACCCTTCAGCTGCGCTGCCTGGCCATTCCGCCCCACCAAAGCCTCTTCTCTTCTGCATCCCTTCCTCTCTGCCCCTTTAGCCCTTGCTGGATCAGCGCCTGTCCTCAGCCAGCAACACACAGCCCCTTTTGGTCCTTAGAACCTGTACAGGATTTCTCCTCCCCAGCTAAACTGACCCTTCATGGCCCTCACAGGATCTAAGATGTTGTGATCCTTCTGTGGTTAACCATTCCTTCTACTTGCTCCGGAACTTTCTGTGCCAGTCACAGAAGTCGTCAGTGGAAGCTCACAAGCAGCAGGCAAGTCAACATTGCAAAGCGGTGTATATAGGCGCTCAGGTAGAAATAACAGCAATTTAAATAAAAATGTGCTGCAGCTCACTGTCGTGAGGACCTGCCTGTTTGCTCAGTCTGTTGCCCCATGCTGTCTGTGCACAGACCACTCAAGCCACGCATGGCTTTCTCTCCATGTGGCTTTAAACCAGACTTGAACTGGAAGCTCCGTCAGCTCAACAACACCTTCCGGCAGAGGACTGTCCTGAATAGAGGAGCACCCACCACAAAGCAGGACACCTGGCCATCCTCTGCAAATGCTGAGAGGAGAGAGGGAGACCGGGGGATCCCAACCTCGGCCGTTTGCCGTGGCTCTTTCAGCCACAGTGTTCAGAAGAACAGGCAGAGGTGGAGGGGATGCTTTGGCAAAACCAGGTGTGGGTCAGGACTGTCTTTCCTTAAGCGGTTCTCCCATGCCCCCTTGCGTCATTTAAGCAGCCCCCACCCCAGATTTGTGTGGGTCACTACAGGAAGAGATGGCAGGGAGGCAAAGGAACGGAACAGAACGGGTCCTGCAGCAAACACACACGACGTAACTCAGTTCCCAGCCTCAGACAGCCAAGCGACCAGCCAGATTTGGCTGCCGGGTTTTGGTTTTGCTTGACTCCAGCCGTTTATTTCCCTGGCGCGGACACGTCCCCTTCATCTCTGGCAAGGAGGAGGGGACCAGGGAGAAAGCAGCTAATCTTCCAATTCTGAGGGCTCCCCTATCAGCTCCTGGGGAGAAGGATGAGATTTTATTAAAAACCAGGGGATGAATAATAGCAGATTTATCTTCTTTATTGGGCTGAGGCAGCCACTAAGAATTCTGTGCCATAACTCACTGTCAGAGTAAACCAACGCCTTTTGGTAAACCATGGAAAGAAATGAAAAGAAACCATAAAAATAAATAAAATAGAAATAGATAGATAAATAAATAAATACATGAATAAAAAGAAACCATCCAGGCATCCTTCGCTGGGCCTCCTCATATTCCCCATGTTTTTCACCACCTCAAGGTCTGCATTATATTCCTGCCCGCTCAGATTCAAAGTATGTTCTTATTTTCCATGCATGTACCAATAAACATGAACAGACATGCAAACTGGTCTGTCTTGGTTTAGCATCACGACACATGGAGAGCTGGGTACCGAAAAACACCCAGGGGGACGGGGATGGAAAGGACAAATGGAGCGGGTTCTGGTCCACATTCCTGCCTGCTCCCCAACCAGGATGAAATTTTTAGACGCTGCTGGAATCCTGTACTTTGATGCAGCCAGAGACTGGGGCATGAGGCATTAACTTTGGGTCCTGGTTTCGGTCCTGGTTACCTGAAGGAGCGCTTACATCCATATTTGCCCAGTCGCCCCCTGAGATCGGCGGGAGAGGCCCTTCTCCGGGAGCCCTCCGTGAGAGAAATTAGGAGGGTGGCTACTCGGAGAATGGCTTTCTCAGCGGTGGCACCTAAGTTATGGAATGTGCTCCCCAGAGAGGTCCGCCTGGCGCCGTCGTTATTTGTTTTTCGGCGCCAGGCAAAGACCTTTTTATTTAAGCAACATTTTAAATGCTAACACAATTGAATTTTATCTGGCCAGGGCGGCTTATTTTATAATGTGTGTTTTAAATTATGATTAGTTTATATGGATATTTTAACTTATTGTTTTATCTAGTGTTGTAAGCCACCCCGAGGCTTCGGTGA